TGTGCATAAATTTCATCAACTTCAAAAGAAGCTTAATTATTTTAATTATTATTATTAAATATTATTATGTACTTAATTGCTAATCTGTATGTGTGTGTATAATAAATTCTTTCTTAGCTTAAGAATCAGTGTAGTAATTTTGAATATTTTGTGTTGATTAAATTCTCATTTTTGTGTAATTTGCATGAGCGTTTCTCTTGCTGGCTTTTAATATGCTTGGACAAGGAAACTCAACTTGCATTTTTGGCAAAGCAAAGTTGCTTGCTGATACAGACTAAGCTTGTTGGTTTTGTTTTTTCTTGCAGAGCTGGAGTGGACCAGAGAAATTACTTGCTTTAGATGAACTCATTGACAGTTGTGAACCAACACAAGTGAAACACATGATGCAAGTGATAGAACCCCAGTTTCAAAGAGACTTCATTTCCTTGCTCCCAAAAGAGGTGAGAAATACGGGTTCAAGTCACCACCTTTTAAATACTTCCTTGCTCATTGTGGCATTCAATTTTTTTTCAACATAGTGGTATAAACTGATGTTAAAAAGGCCCCTAAGTTGACCTACTGCTGTAACATAGTAACCATTATTTTACAGTTACACACCTTTGTGTTTTGGTTGCAATTCTAATACCTAGAAATATGGATGACTCCTTAAAATCCCAGGAGCTTTCAGGTATCTCTGTATCTTAATTGGGCTGACTTTATTTTTATACTGAGAACTAGTTCTTTCAGAGAGTGCACACAAAAAAATTCCCTCCAGCTGCATGACCTTTCTGTACGGTATTCTGGAAGTATAAGCATTACCGTTTAATGCTTTAAGTAGTGTGCTTTTTTGTGAATATTATTTTTTAAAATTTATTTTAAACAAACTAAGTCTTAAAGTCTACATCAATAAACCCCACCAGAAATAAGCTCAGAAAAGCCCTTCTTGCTAAGGATAAAGCCAAGCCCTAATTAACTGGATATATTGCAGTAAATCCTTTTCTGCAAATCAGATCATGTTGTATCAGGTTAAAGAGAAGCTAAGACTTAGATTTGAGTGTGTGTGATTTTCAGCTCTTGTAAGTAAGTAAATGTTGTCTGTAGAAGAGTAATGCTTGGTATTCTCACAACTAGAACATGGGGTTTGGGATGAAAGAGTATCAAGCCACTGTAATACAGCTGTTAAATGTGTTTTAGTACTTTTAGAAACTATACTTCTGATATTAATTGATTTTAGTGAATGGGAACTGTTTTCCTGTCTGAAGAGAGGAGGAAGTGCATCTTCTTTTGCCATATCTGATGTGTGCTGAGTTTGCCATGTGGAAATTTGCATGAAGGTTGATGTTCGTATGTCTTTGTTTACTGACAGATTTGAAAACAAGTTCTTCATAGGTATTCTGGAGCTGGTGTTTGGTTACTGTGGTTAGTGTGCTCTTATTTACTGTGAAGAGAGTTCTGTATCTCCTGTTCTTGACGTTCTTTCTGATCATGTTCTATTTTTGAAATACTTAGATGTGCATGACCCTTCTTTCCATCAGATCTTCATGGATGAGGAAATGTCACAGCTAGTTAGCAGTTACTAGTTAGCATTTGTTAGCATTGGAAGCACGTTATGTGATGAATGTTAACTTAGAACACATGACATAAGCATGTGGATAAGCACTCTGTGCTAGCCTTGTTCATGTATGTAGAGGACACTGGGGAAAGAGAAAAGTTTAATAGGACTTCTGTGGTGGTGCAGACCTCGTAAAGAGGCTGCCCCTTAGTTCAGAGGCTGAGGAAGGAATCAGGAGGTTAGATTTGAGACAACAGAGGGCATTTTGTTACTTCTGCACCTGTTGCATCTGGAAATGCACTAATTGATCACAGTGAGTCACGGATGAATTGTCTTTCTTTGCAAGACTTAGTGCCCAGAGCTAACTTAAGTAGTTGATGTAGATACACTGTAATTAATGATATTGCTGTTATTTCAGTTTTAGCAGTTTTTTCACAGAAAGCTGTAAAATAAACAGCTAAATAACTATGTTCCTTACCTCTTATTTGTTACCTGACTCCACTGTAAAATACTTGTGTTTAATTTATTTTTAGTGGTCATTCTTGCTTCCTGAAACTGTAAAATTGTCGGGTGCTTAGCTGCATGAAAGGCTGACTTGGCCCTGGAAGCTGGCTTAAACAATTTTTGCCTTCTAAGCCCCAGTTGCTGTCACCAAAATTAACCAAAAATTCTCTATGAAGCCAACTCCATTTCTTCTCCATTTCTGAAGATTGTTTAAGTCAGATCTGTTCAATGACTCTGTCCCCTGCTACTGGCTTCAGCGGGGGGTGATGAGTAAGTGTGGGGAGAAGAATAATTTGGTAGGGTCAGTAATTCTGCAAGCAGGCTTCTCTACCAGTGCCAGCATCCTGTGAAAGCATGCTCTCTTGAGCTGTCACTCTGCATTAACATCTATAGGTAGCCCAGTATTGTATGTACTGCAGTGATTTTATTACCTAATGAGAATATGAAGCTGATTTGGGCAGGAGGCCTCTCCTTCAAAAATGTTTTCAGCAATAGAAAGACAGTAACTTAATATCTGAATAACCAAGAAAATGTTTGCCTTCCCCCTGAGGAAACCTGCAGTCAAACAATTAACTGAAATGAATATTTGTTTTCTTACAGAGCAATTAGAAATAATTATTGAAATTATTTGTTTGTGAAAGTCAAGTCTAGAAATCAACAGATAAGGAATGCTGCTAAAATTAGCCAAAGAAATAGTATTGGTGCCTTGGTACATTAGGAGAAAAAGCGAGACGCAGCGTATGGTTGGGTTTTCTTAGTGCTGCAGAAGGGAGCAGGCCTCAGTACGGCTGAGTCAAGGTCAGCTCTCTGCTACCTGAAGCTGTCTCATAGCTAACTCCACAAAGTGAGACAAAGGGCCTCCATCTTTTGTACACTGCTAATCCTAAAGTCAACTGTGAGCTGTGTTGACCCTTGATGACTATTTAGCCAAATATAGTCTAAAATAAATGTCACCCATATGTAAGCTGTTTTAAAATCAGTTGGCTCACAGATTTTAATTAACACTATCTTAGCAAATGTCCATACCCATGTAGATAGGACAAGTGATATTTAAACAAAATCTTCTGTCAGTTAAGGAGCATCTAACAGAAAAGGAAAGGATCTGTTTCATGTTATGAGCCTTGCTGCGTACAAGGCCATCTATCTGATGTGTCTTAGGAAACGTGTCATAAATAATGTTCCATATCAGGAATTAAGACAGAGTCGAAAAGGACACAAGTACAGTTGTTGTTTTTGTGTCAGGGAGCCTTACAGCACACATTAAATTCTCACTCCACAAACGAGTAGGGACAGAGTAATCGTTCCTCAGCTTTATAGCCTGGGATGTACGTGGGATCTAGGGTGCAAGTTAAGGCACATATCCAGCAAATGTGGAGTCCTACATGCTCAATGTGAGCTGCAGGTGATGACTTGCCAACAAGGTGTGTAATTGCAATCAGAATGCCAAGAGGCCTGACATGCTGAATTTTTATTTCCTGCTCAGTTACTGGCTGGGCTAGATTAATACAAGTAAACGTTTCTCACATAATAACGTTAAAAATCTGCTGAGGTCAACAGCCTACAGTTACAACTTCCTTAGTGAATTTCAGTCTGTGCTTCTTTGAAAGGCAGATTCTATTTATATACAACATAACTCCAGTTAAAAATTAAATACAAAGATGCTAAGCACAAAAATATATGTCAAGCAGCAATAAATGTGGATGATCTGATTTTCCTGACAACTTTTGCATCCTAGTATTGACAAAGACCCCAACAGTATTTCTAAATGTAAGTAGTTCTGTGCATCACTTTTTATCAACGTTGTTCTTTCTGTGGAGACTTCAGTCATGGAAGCCACTTTCCTGCCTCTTCTATTTTCATTTTCCATGACTGGAGAAATGCATTGTTGCTGCTCAATAGAAAAGCTGTAGTCATTCATCCAGAATACCTTTAAGGATATCTATCACCGTATTTTGGTTCGTGTTTTAGATGCCTCTGTCCCTTTTTAAGGCTCCAGGCCATCTGAAGATATTTCTGGAATTTTGGGAGACTTATCATGGTCATTATGTGGCTTTGCTCAACTCAGCTGAGATCTGAGCTCTACCAGTAACATTTAACATTGTCACACAGAAAAGTGAAGTTCAACTTCAGTTCACCTTACGCAGCATACTGGAATTTCCCTTGTTTGTTGTTTTTGTTTTTCTTTTCCTGGTAACAAATACAGTGTGTAATATCAGTTACTTATTTTAGTCCTTTTGCATCCAAGTGCATAAAACTCCCTGTAGCAGCACTTAAGTGTACGCTCGCATCCTAATTAGAACTTGAGCAATGTGATTACTGGATTTTCTGCAGCTGCAGAGTACTTTTGAACTTGAGGACAAGTAGCGTTTACATTTTCTCTGTTTGAGCTTACGGTGTGATGTTTTTTCATCCCAGCATCCTTAATTTGTTCACATAGTAAGTGTGGTGGTATTTTCTGGTTAAACTCTCAGAATAACTTTTATTAGATAAAATATCACAGGCACAATTATTTCAGTACATCTGGCAACGGTTCAAAGTAATATGGATGACATTTTAAAAAAGCATAATAGCCAGTGATTTCAGCTGACATCTAGTCTCTTGCAAATAATATACATTTTTGATGTGATCTGTATGGATTTAGTTATTTAAGATGATTGCTGTACTTCTCATGTGCCCACTGGAACAAGCTGTAGCTCTGTTAAGTTTCTGAGATCATTTAATAATTCATTGTTTCAATTTTCTGTATTTCAGCCTCTGATGTGTGATAATGCTTGGAGTTACTTCACTTTTCCTTTCAAAAGCAATTTAGAAACCTCCCTTTCTTTTCTTACAGCTGGCACTGTACGTGCTGTCATTCCTGGAACCCAGGGACCTTCTGCAGGCAGCCCAGACGTGCCGTTATTGGAGGATTCTGGCTGAAGATAATCTTCTCTGGAGAGAGAAATGCAAAGAGGAAGGTAGGGCTGAGCAAAAAGATGAATGTAATGGTCAAAGTGTTGCTGTCAAAAAGTGCAGCTCGTTTACATAATAAGCTTAAAGTTTTATGAAGGGAATTTGGGTGACTTTAAATTTACAGCTAGGGGTCCTTTGAGCTACGTAGTGCCTATCTTTGTTAAAAGTAGGAAGCAGAAGTAATCTGCGGAGTACTAGAAATGAAACTAGACTACTTAAGCTTGAACTTAATATGCATAAGGTATAACACGTATATGGGTTTTAAAATACACTAATTTTTCCTGGTTAAGGATAGCTTTTATTCAAAATACGACCAAAGCAAATAAGAGCTGAGATGAGCATTGCCTTGCAGGAGAGAAACCTACACTGGTTGTGTAGAACGTGCACTGTGATTTCATGTCAGTTGTAGGAAAATTAACAGAGAAATTTCACAGCGTAGGAGAAGAAGGTGGAAATCGATTGCTCAGAGAAGAGGATGCATTCCATAAGCCATGTTGATTCGCTGCCTCCTGCCCAGTCAGGAAGATAGGGTGGTTCAGCAGTACTACGAATGGGCAATAAAAGACTCCCAGGGAAATAAGCACCTGTATGAAAATAAGAAAAATGTAAACTTGTTAAGCAGAAATACACGGCCGAGCAGTCTGGGAGACCAAGCACATGCATGCAGCTTCAGAGCAGTGTCCTTCTGGACACAGGCAAATGCTGGTACTGTCCTGTCTGCCTCAGCACCGAGACAAGGATGTGGGGACAGGTCTGTGCAGAGGCTTTAAAAATGATGACAGCGTGAATGTAGCTGGCTACTTTTAAAGGCCCCTAAATTAATGAGTTGTTCTTCTGCAATGGAAATCAGGTGTCTAACCTCATAAATCTTATCTAAAGATTCTCCTCTTACAAATTTCAGTGAAAAATGCTTTGAGAGGACAGATGAGGAAAAAGGAAAACAGTGAGGGGTGTTAAGACTATGTTTGTGAGCTGAGAATTAGAAAATAATCTGGCCAGGCATGAGAGCACTGCTTAAACAGGATTGTAGACTATTCAGACCTGGTGAGATGCACAGTAACATGAAAGCTCTCTTAATTCAAAATTTTCAGATGGAAACACGGGAAAGGGGGCTAAAAGCAGAAGAGTGAAATCCATGTTCTGGCAACAGTCATAGGTTAGGCTAGTAGAGACATGCAGTGGAGAAAGAGAATTATGTAGAAAAGATGGATAGGTGGGAAAGAGAATTGGCCAAAAAGAAAAAGACACAAAATGCAATAAGAAATATGAAATGAAGTGCTACCTCTTAAATGTCAATTCAGACAGGGTGCAAGTCTACCTAAACCGAAGCCAGGCGAGGACAGCTTTTTGAAAATAACAAATGAAGAGGTCAAGAGTCACGGGGTACTTAAAGGTAATGAAGATGCGCAACTAGAGAGGAGGATTTTTTGAAGGGCTTCAGAATGGGAGTATGAATGGTTGTAGATGATAGTCAGGTGAAAAGGCAATATTCTGCTACATTTCCTCAGAATAAGGGATTCAAAACCAAGCAAGTAGATTGCTGGCAGGGAGTGATGAAAATGAGCATTTTCAACCACATGATTACAGTAATGATTATGCTTGGAAGGCAAGAAAGATGGTAGTACAGAGAGCTGAGGAGCAGGGTGGGGTCACTGACACAAAAAGCAAATACTGGCATGGAGAAGATGAGCAGAATTCTCTGTCAGGAGGTTGTTATGTTGATACTGTATTTAATTTCGGAGATCACTGTAAGGTTTAGGAGGGAGAAAAGCTGTTTTATTGGGGGTGGACTCATCAGTCCCTCCTGCCACCACCCCCTTTTTTTTTTTTTTTCTTTAAATCCATTTTAGGGATTGATGAACCATTACATATCAAAAGAAGGAAAGTAATAAAACCAGGCTTTATACACAGTCCGTGGAAGAGCGCGTATATTCGACAACACAGAATTGATACCAACTGGCGGCGAGGAGAACTTAAATCGCCTAAGGTGAGTTGCTGGGCTGTGTGTAGGGTGCCATGAACTAAGCAGGATCCACTCGGGTTATTTTTTTCCCTTCAGACAAGTCGAACTAGCCATGCACAAAAAGCACTGCATTGCTACAGAAAGGCAATCATTTGTATGTTAGCTTACCGTGTTTTTACATTAATTTCTGAGCGCTGTATTTGCAAATCAAAATGTAAGGGTTTATGCAGCAAAACTCTTTCGCTGCTGTTTTAAAAAACTCTGCAGAATCTGGTGAATGGCCGTGCACGTCTGTGGGAGATAATCCCCCAGACTTGATTGGAAATACTTATATTTAAAATCAAACATACACACTCGTGGGCCACTTACCAACACAAAAATATTCCACAACTATTCTGTGATCATTTCATGCTTTATTTATAGATATTTTTATAAATTGAGCAACAGGAGATGGTAATTTTGTTCCATGTTAAGATTTTTTTTTTTGAACATTGAAATATTTAATGATATTGATTTCATATTCTCATTATGGCTTTTCCAATATAAAGTTATGAAGCAATAGCTACAGACCATTTTAAAATAAATTAACAGCTGTCTAATCAAACCTGGTATTGAGCTAGCAGTCAGAACCATGAAGAAAAAACCATATTCCTATCCTTTTAGCCAATTTCCTTGTCTTGATTCCTGTACAACAAAACAATAAGCACAAAAAGATTCCTGTGACAAACCTTTGGGTAGATCCTGCTGTTTATTTGGCCGTGACTCATGTATGTCTGCAGCAGTGGCTCCGTGTTTCTTGCCTTGATATGCCACATCAAGTTATCTTGGAATTATTATTAAAATTACAGCCTCGGGCATTAGCCAAATGCCCATTTCGTTTCAATGAACATCTTGCGAAATGCTCAAATATCCTAAATAAAGCCATTCCTTGTTCCTTCTCATTCTCTGTATTCTGATAACTGTGCCATATTTTAGTAAAATATACTGAATTGCAGTATTTCTCACATCACATATTGAAGATTCTACTTCTGCAGGGTACCATTCCAGTCCACATTTCCAGCCTTTAAATGATTGCCTTTTTTTTGTACTTAATTTAGTTTACGGTTTACAGTTTTTGACTTCGGTGCAGCTTCACATTTAATAGATGACAGTGGTTGGTTGGAAAGGAAAAAAATAGGCATGTTTGGTCTTGACCATAGAAATACAAATATGCAGGAAATAATACAATGCTATCATTTTTGTTCAAGATCGGTGAAGCTCAAAACATCTTAAAAGGTGGAAGTCCAAGGGAGGAAAAAAAAAAGAATTAAAAAATAAAGAGAGGGAATAACTGCAGAGGAATTGAGCAATGTCCAGCAACTAATCTTTCCTACTTTCATTACTCATTTATCCTGGTACTTGTAGGAGGTTTAAAATCCCCACAGTACATTTGACGAGCAGTGCAGCATTATTCCACGGAAGAAGGAAAATACCTTCTTTGGTCCCAGCTGGCAGTAAATGAGACTTGACACACAGGATTAAGGGTCCGAATTATTTTTGAAGCAACTCTAGCATTTTATAATTTATGAATCAGAATGGCACTTTGTTTCTCCTGCTTTTTTCTGATCTCCTGAGTTCAGTTGTGAGTTTTTGTGTTTTTCACTGCCAGGTGCTCAAAGGCCATGATGATCATGTGATCACATGCCTTCAGTTCTGCGGGAACCGGATAGTGAGTGGCTCTGATGACAATACATTAAAGGTGTGGTCAGCAGTAACGGGCAAGGTAAGTGGATGGCATGGATGGATTTCTTAGGAAATGGGCTACCAGTTAGCACTTGGATACAGGTTGAAAATATCACTGTTTTGCCCAACCACACCCAGAGTGGTGTTTGGGGCTGCCTAGTGAAAGATTCAGGAAAGCGAATGGTAGACATTCGGGTCATCTTCCCCTGCACACAGACTGGATCAAAAAAGTCACCTTGATGTGAAATTACAATGCTGCTCATGCTACTGCTGGCATATATCCTTGTTCTCTTGGCAATTCTTCTATTCTCGTGGAGTCATTTGTGACATGGATTCTAAAGAATTTGGACAGATATGTTGCTTTATCTTCCTTAAAGCTTAATTTAGCCTTGTTTTACTCCTCTAGATCTGACTTCTCTTCTATCATTCTTTCTGTTGCTTTTAAGTTATTGAAATGGTGTGTTGATTTTACTAGCTCTGTTTTCCAATGCAGTTTGTTTTTCATTCTAAGCTGCTATACTGCTGAGCCACAGGAGAAAAAAAAAAGTGTAACTTGCTTTAGGTTTAAATATTTCCTATTAAATTAGATCCAGCTCAGGCAGGAATTTAATAAGCTTCAATAATTTAATTTTGGCTTAGAGAAGCAAAACAATATGTGCAATCAAAAAGACAGTACTGAGCATTTCACTCATGTTAGAACATCACAGCTACTCAGCAAACAGTTCCATATAGCTATAGAAAAGGCCACAGAGCAATAGTATTTTTTCCCATTTAAACTAGTATCATATAGACTCTGTATTGTTTTAACAATACAGTTATTTGAACACAGGACAGTTTTTGAGATTAACTTGATGATGTTCAAATTGAACGAGTAAAGGATTTGTCTTTGCATGCCTAATAATGCCTTGACAAGTTTATAAATACTACAGTGGGAAAGAATAAAATCCAAAGCAATAGGCAGCCTCTCCCTACCTCTCCCAGCTTTCTGCAACAAGCTGTCTAACAAAGGAACCCATGGTAAATTTTTCATATTTTACCTGAAGAGGCAGGCTAAACTGAGATGAAAAATACTTGCTTTTTATATACGGGCCTCTCAAAAGCAAAATGTTCTTTTAAATGTATGAAATTGATTGTGGTAGCATAACTTACCAATTGATGTTCAGTAATTTGTGTAAAAATAATTTCAGATTCTAATGTGACTATTTACCCTAAACCTTAGAGGTAAATATTGTATGTGCAAGAGGGCTGTATTAGCCCTTATGTGGGCTGTATTGGCCCTTATGCTTACTGGTAGTGGAGAATTAATAAAATAAAAAGAACCCTAGGGGTTGATCTTTGCAAATGAACATGGCTAAACAATCCCCTTGACAGATGTAAAGCCCAGAGTAAGGATTCTGTGTTCTTACTGCTTTAGAAGGATGATTTCTTAAAATATGAACAAATCAGTGGAAACTTACTTAAGAAAAAAAAAAAGTTGGAGAGCTGTAAAAGTGAAAAGCAGTTATGAAATTAAAAAGATGGAATTGCTAGGAGTGAATTAGGAAGCAAAACTGCAGAAAACTGGTAGAAGAACTGGAAATGTAAGTACAGTAGAAATGTAAGGATGTTTGTTAGAAAGGATATTACAGTAGAAATTAGTGTGCTGTTGATTGCTGATGCAGAATAAGTACTTATGTTTGAAGAAAATTCATATGATGGAAATCCAGCATGCAGCAATGATAGAATATTTCAACAGAAATTTGAAAGGGCATTAAAAACAACCACTAAAGCTGGGGCGTATTTTATTACAGCTGATTCAGACAGCTGTATTCTGGGATTGGTTTCTAAAGTTACCTATGGGGTAAAATAGGTGTTTTTTTTCCCAACAAAAGGAAGCTAAAATGTATCAATATTTAAACTGAGTAAACTGGAAGATTGGATTTTTAGGATACCTTATCTCAGATAAAAAAAAAATATTAGACTACGTAAAAAGGAGTCATTAATGGAGAAGGGCCACGGATATTAATGCCACTTAGCATTAGATTACAGAAAAAGAGATCATCAGACTGTCTTGACCTCTTTGCTGATGCAGGTACAGGTTGGCCTGATAAAAATAATAATGCTGAAATAGATGGCTGTCTGCACTGCAAGACAGTATCCCATGACACAACTAAAGAAAATAGAGCAGTGCAAAAATCAACATGGCACATATTTAAATGGGTTAGAAAGTGGGTAATTAGCGAGATCATGTTATTAATGTAAATGCAGAATCTGTATGGAGTATCTTTCTAGAGGGGTCTTGCAAAGATCTGTTCTTGTCTGTACTAATTAGCACTTACTGCTGCTTGATGAAAATGCATATACAGTCGTGACTTGTAAGGAATACAGACGGAGATGGAGACAAAACATTGTTCCAGAGTGGGTGAGGTTTTATAGAAGAAAGTGTGAGCAATCACTCTTCCTACATGGTGAAAAATCATGTCACACAACTAGTATCAGAGAAGGCCAGCCACGTGTGTGTAACGTGGGATTCTCTCCTGGGCAACAGTGATATCTGTAGAAGGTTGGAAATGTCATTTCACAGTGTTGATGCCGTAGCTGTAGCTTACAGAATGTGCTGTTTCTTGGGTAAATAAGCAGAAACATTAAATAAGAGAATAGTTTATAGATTGGTGATAAAACTACAAAGTGAATGCTCTCTCCAATTCTAATGTTTATGCTTCAGAAACATATTGGAAATCTGCAATGACTCAGAAAAACTGCCAAGATGAAGACTCAGGGCTACAAAATGCATCTTGTAGAACTCTGCAAAGACAGTCTATCAAAAGCAAGATCATAGGGAAAGTTCCTTACAGTCCAAGTACCTGCAGTGGAGAGAGAAACTTAATGGGCATTTTCTAGCAGATGTAAATTTTTAGTTCAAGAGCAAAGCAATCCCCAGGAGCCTTTTGGCTCTTGCTATAACACACTACTGTTACCTCCTTGATTACTATTTCTAAAACTTGTGTTAAAGTCTGTCAGAACAGTAACTGAGCTGCATGTTTCTTTTCAGTGCTTGAGAACATTAGTTGGACATACAGGTGGAGTCTGGTCATCACAGATGAGGGACAACATCATCATCAGTGGATCTACAGATCGGACTTTGAAAGTCTGGAATGCTGAGACTGGAGAATGCATACATACTTTGTATGGACACACCTCCACGGTGCGCTGCATGCATCTCCACGAGAAGAGGTAAGCCTCTGTCCAAAGCTACAGCAACAGTCTGGCTTCTAATCTGCACTCTGTTCATACAAACACTTGTTAAATTCGGTTGTCTGATCAGACACTGAGTGAAATACAAAACAGGCAGAGCATCCAAACTAAAGTACGTCAGTTGACTGAGGGAGGAGATTATTAATAGAAGCAAAAGTATAAAAGTATTAATTAAGGAACAGAAAACTAAGAGAGTCGGGAACTTTATAAAGCCGTCTTTTATCTTATTCTAAAACTCATTCCTCGTTACAACCTGATTCAGTCTACCACACTGAATAACTTATTCTTAGCTTTTTGTAAATGTTACAGACTTTCTCATTTTGCAGAGTGACTTAAGTATCGTTGGTGAGGTACTTTATTAAAATATTAACTTACTGTATCATAATTTCTGCAGTAGAAATTCAGGTCTTGATTTAAGCAACATTGGCAGAGCTGCTTTACTTGGCTGTGGTGTAGTGCTGTTGTCAGAGTGCCTGCTGGTTACATTTCTTCATTTTTGAAGAATGCTGAGGTTTTTCTTTATCTGTGCCACTAATATTAATTCCTTCTCACTTCTGTGCTTGCCTAAAAAAAGCAGAATAACCATTCCTTTGCTAAAAGTATAACTTCTAAAGATCTTCTTTAATTGTTATAATTAGTTAATTCAGTCATTTAAGCAGGAAGCTCAAAGTGCTAATTTGAACTCGGCATATTCATAAGCTTTCATGGATGGATACAATAGTCCACATAGTTTCTCATGGCATCATTTTGCTGTTCAAGACTGAAGTGCTTTTTAAATAGAGATTGCTAATTATATCAAATAGATCCTGGAGAGATGAGAAGAGCAAGGAAGAAACGCACTCAAATCATTTGCATCCCTAATAAAATGTCATACCAAAGCAGATCTTTGGTGCCTAGCGGACGACTGCTATCTAGTATCCCAGATGAAAACTTGTAACTGATTTATAACCATCTCATTGTTTTAATGCTTTTATTTCCAACACTAAATATAGGAGGGGTTTTCTTGTTCCTCCAGAGTGGTCAGTGGTTCTCGAGATGCTACACTGAGAGTTTGGGACATAGAGACGGGCCAGTGTTTACATGTTCTGATGGGCCACGTAGCTGCAGTTCGATGCGTTCAGTATGATGGCAGAAGGGTTGTAAGTGGTGCATATGATTTTATGGTCAAAGTGTGGGATCCAGAGACCGAGACCTGTCTGCACACGCTGCAAGGGCATACTAACAGAGTCTATTCATTACAGGTAAGTGATTCTCATCTGCTGCTTATATGAACACAGTGCCTTTCACCTCTTTTATTAAATTGTGAGTACCTGCTCCAGAGTTATATAGGCCACAAGAATACTGGGGCATCTGTGATATTCCCCTTCTCCATTTTCTCCTCTTTGTTATATGTTGCCTTAATTTAGAGGCTGTGTTGCTTTGTTTTTTTTTATCAGAAGAGTACTTTTAAAGCCCATAGTGCAATAAAGCCCAAATCTCTGTCCTGTCAAGTTACGTACTTTTGCAGGGCTTGGGGTTGTTTGTTAGGTGTTCTTTAAATGTTGCATGTCTTTTGACGGTATGCTTTTGGCTTCCCCAAAAGAAGTTCTAATGTTACTATTTAAATATATTAGATAATACAGTATTTGAAAATGTGCCAGAAACCCCATTCGATTAATGTTCTGAATTAAGCAAATCTGTTTATCCTTATTTTGTAGTCACATCCTCTAGTTCCAAACTGTAATTCATAGTAAGGATGAACCTGAAATGTAATACCCTGACTTAAGTCTTTATTTTACTAGTTCTGAGCAAAGGCTGTATCTACAGTTCTGAGGCTTTGTCAGCAGAGACGTGTTATTGTAGATGCAGATCATTCTTGGTACCAGTGTATGGCACGGCCAGTTTACCTCTCGCCTGACTTCACCAGAGCTATGCTGGCAAAGTCATACACAGAGCTCATGTAGACTCTTCTTACCTTTACCATTCCAAAAGATCATCTTGTTCATTCACGGAGTGAAAGCATCATTTCCAGGCAGAAAGAAATTAATTTCATGCTTGTGCCTGTTCTCATTGCAATCTGGCAGGACTCAAAAAAGAAATTAACAACAAATACAGTTCACAACTGGGAAACTGCATTCGGCATGTAACTAGTTTAGTTTGCAGCACAGAAAAAAGCTCTGTGCTGCAGACATTTTTCTTAAATGCTTTCCTGAAAAGGTGTTTTTCACCATAATAGATCAAATGGTTTTCTTTTTTGATAAATTTTACTATATATTTTTCAAGTCACCATCTCTTCTCTTACATTCATGCACTGCGGAGTATTTGAGACAAGCAGCAAACAGGTTAAAAATGCTTCACTACCTACCTCATATTATGGTTTTATCTCAGCTGGTGCAGTTTGGGAATGGTGTGTGTTGCTCTACCTTATCTTCACTGGTGGCTCTTGTTCCAGTTGGTGAATATACATGTCTTACTCAACTAATAGAGTAATTAAGGGTCAAATAATTGGATTATGTTGCACGTGCTGGTAGTATTTGTAGCTTGTAAGTGGAACTTGGAGGGGGCAGAAGGCTACAGGTACTTAGAGTTTTAGGACATTCCAATTTGTTGAAATTGAAAGGTGAGCTTCTGCTGAAACAGCCCATAAATAGAATAATGAGGCTGAACAGCACACCTGTCTTCCCCACCCCCTGCCCCATAGTAGATTCTCTTATATTTTAGTATTTCCCCATTTGTGACCCCCAAACAATTGTTAGAGATCTTTATGCAACAATTTAAGAGTAATCAGGTTGCCTCACAAGACACAGTACAACCTCTGATATGAATCACTGTTTAACTGCAGCAGTATTGAAGTAGTTTGTCTTGACGCTCAGCTTTAAAGCTCTCTTTCTGAATACTTTATGCATGTAGAATATAGTTAAATGAGAGGAGAGGAAGAAAAGAGTCTATTTTTTTTTGCATCAGTCTTTCTTTAAGTCCATTCTGTTGTGTTTCACCCAACAAGTGTGCTGGCTGCTCATCATTCCTGATTCCTTTATCCAAACTCAAATTATTTCACATGCTTTCTTGGAAGTACAGTGCAGAAAACAGGATGCAGAATTCTCGTTAAAGTCTTAGCAATGCTTGCTGTAATGGAAGAGTTATTTTATGAGTATTGTTTAGCATATCTCTATTTTGGATACCAGAGTGTGTGTTTTTTAGTAAATTTTCACTGGACATGCAATGTATTCCAGTCAGCAGTCTGCACGTGCCAATTGCTCCTTAGAGCTTCTGAACCAAAGTGCCACTCAACCATGACTACAGGTAGAGATGTAAGCTGTTCTGAGATTGAAGAGGTTTTACAAAAAGAAGCAGCCAGATAGCTGGGTTCTCTCTTCTCTGTTACAAGATACCAGTAAGCCCACATGGACAAACAGTGTTAGTTTGCTCTGGCTATTCCAGGCTGCAGTTTTACCCTCATGTATTCTTGGCCAAGCTCAGATCCTCATAATTCTCTCTTGACTTTTACATGCATCGCTTTGGGTCGGGTTCTATCATTTTGAATGTCACACAAATCCTAATGAAAATACTAAATGCCAGACCTTCAGAGCTCTTACTGATGTGTCTAACTACTCTGTGAGCTACGTTGTGAACTGATAGTATCCTTGCACCAGGTATTATTTGTTAGTTCCTTCTGTAAATTGAAGTTACACTGACTGATCCATATTCTCCCATCTCCCGTCCTTGAATAAAGAGCGAAATTGTACCTGCCATCTGAAGTCTTGTCTATCTTCCATGAGTTCTTAAAATAGCATCAGCTGTCTCTATGATGGTCTTAAAACAACTTTGCTGTATGTGTGTTTTTTCTCCATTCTAGTGGAAGCTCGTATTCAGTTGTCACTGGTGTTAGCCTACACTCAGATGGCTGAGGACTGAAGCAAAAAAAAAGTTAAATATCCTGAAATAGCCTCATCTGGTATTTCTTTTTCTTCTCAATCAGCTTAAATGAGCTTTTTAAAATCTTTTTGCCTTCCGCCCCCCCCCCTTTTTTTTTATTTAAGCAAAATAGCGTTTTATCATCTTTAACACCTTTTGCTAGTTTTATCTTGTTTTGTGCTCTGCCTTTCTGATTTTGTCCCAGTGTACTCCTTTGTGTGCATCTCTTGATCTCATTTCTGCTTCTGTACAATTGCCTGTACTTCAACTAAGTAGGTCTTCGTAAATTACTGCACCTCCTATCTTTCCTTCTCACAAGGATAGTTTCTGTCTTTAAGAAGGTGCCAACTCTCCTGAACTCTTCTTCCCCTCAGAGATGCATAAAAACCTCATGGGAAGGAAGACTCAATTTATTAAAGTATTCCTCCTTGAAGCCCGCTGTTTTTACTCTCCTGCTTTTTCCTCCCTTTTGTGAGAACCCTGACTCGTGTCATCATCACTCACTCAGGTTACTTTTCACGTCTATATTCTCTACATGTTCCATCTCTCTGTCAGAAGTGTCTAATTTCTTAACTCATTTCTCTATGTGTTCATCTTCTACATATTTTTACTTTGTACATCAGTACATACCCAGAAAATCAGAATTTGAACATCTGTGTTAGCATATATACTTTTCCCAGCAGTGAGTAGGAAGTTAGAAGTTCCTTACTGCACACAATTATGATTACAAAAAGTTAGACCCAGCATTTTTCAATTCCTTTTCTTCTGTTTTCCTGTATTGTTTTTATATAGCTGTTATTTCCTTTCTCCAGCTTAAAGTCCCTCTGACTTGTGGAAAAGCAGGTTTGGCTGTTAACTTATTTATTAGGACAACAGCCTCTTACTGTTGTATGCTGCAGCAGTCAGGATTCTGTTCTTTTTAAGAGTTGTATTTTATTTGAAAGACTAATGGTTAAATGTCTTTCTCCTCCAGCTGAGTACCCCATAGGAAATGACAATGCCACAAATCACTAGCTGGGCGATTTGGTGAATTAAATGCTTTATAGCCCCTACCTCCATAGAGAGCATTGTAAGATTCTATTATAATTGTTTATAATAGATTTACCTTTCTTGTAGTTTGATGGTATCCATGTGGTGAGCGGATCTCTTGACACCTCCATCCGAGTTTGGGATGTGGAGACAGGAAACTGCATTCACACACTCACAGGCCACCAGTCTTTGACAAGTGGAATGGAACTTAAGGACAATATACTCGTGTCTGGAAATGCTGATTCTACAGTCAAAATCTGGGACATTAAAACAGGACAATGTTTACAGACATTGCAAGGTGAGCTTAAACTAACATAATATAAATCAAGCTGCCTGCAGTAATCTGTGCTGCAGAACCTATATAAAACCTTCTAACCATTTCACACAAAGAAACAAACACGGACCATTTACAACTTAAATATCATTTTTCTGATGACAGCTGTATGATCTTCCTCTGAATTAGAGGAATTTCATCTAATCTATTCAAATCACTTGCCTATTATGAAAGGCAGATGGCCTGAACTGAGAGAAATTTGCAGTGAGTATATTAGCCTAATAAGCCACAGAAATATGTAGGAAATGACATCTCAAAACAGTCAGTCGACGTATTATTTAGGGGTCACTTGGATGTTTCAGAGCCTACTGATTAATTGGATTGGGAGGCAAAGCACACTGTCTATTGCAATAAATCAAAAGAAAGGAGTGGAAGATGTTTTCACTTTTTCAGTAAGAAGAAAGATTTTGTTTTCCATTTTTACAGTTGCCACTGACGCATCACGCACACCAGCATGTTATTTTGTTCCCTCTTCAGAAAAAGTCATATATCGTATCCAGCAATGCTGGCTGCAGCAGAAAATTAAACTTCCATGGAAAATCAGGCTGCTGTTTTAACAGTTTATATGTCTCTATATGTCCCTCAGTACTTACCGGTAGAGTAATCCCATAATAACACTTCAAAGGGACTTGGAGAAAAGCATGCATCGTGGTCACTTCATTCTGCACGGCTAAGTTCATTTTCATGAATATCCAAGTATGCACTTGTCCTGCTGTGCGTATGCAACAAAACAAGATCACTATAACAAAGAAGTATTGGGGAAATTTCGCTTTTTGAAAACAGAAGGCAAGGTTCTGTACCTTTTAAAGCACAAAAACAGGGATAACACATCTAAGAGAAACAACTGTACTCAAGTGGATGGGTATTTACATTATATGCAGCGCTATCTGTCACTGCTTTCCCATTAGAAACAAAAATGTTCTGGTTTGCTCTTCTAGGTCCCAACAAGCATCAGAGTGCTGTGACCTGTTTACAATTCAACAAGAACTTTGTAATTACCAGCTCAGATGATGGGACTGTAAAACTTTGGGACTTGAAAACGGGTGAATTTATCCGAAATCTAGTTACATTGGAGAGCGGGGGAAGCGGAGGCGTCGTGTGGCGGATCAGAGCTTCCAACACAAAGCTGGTGTGCGCCGTTGGGAGCCGGAACGGGACTGAGGAAACAAAGCTGCTGGTGTTGGACTTTGACGTGGATATGAAGTGAAGGCCAGAAAGATGAATTTATCCAAACGTGTAGACGATGTTCTCCTTTCCCTCCCCCTGAAAAAAAAAAAAAAAAAAAAAAAAAAAGAAGAAAAAAGAAAAAAAAAGAAAAAGGAAAAAATATCCCTTGTCCTTGGTGGTGCAGGATGTTGGCTTGGGGCAACAGATCCTAAAGACCTACAGACTACGAAGGAGAAGACAACGATAACAAACTCTAACTGACAAGAGAGGCATTTGCTGTCTCGTCACATAAAATGGCAACACCTTCGACCGGGGCAGCTTTGCAAAAACACAACTTCTGAAATGAAACCAGGTGCAATTATTTCTTTACTTTCCTCCAGCTGCTTCCATGAGCAATTTGGAGGTTAAAAAAAAAAAAAAAAAGTTACAGTTCTTGTTACCAGGTTATTTTACTACAGAGATCCTAAGGAAGCTGCACACGCACGCCTGCTGGTACCCCTGGCCCCTCAGCAAGGCGCTCTCCCGGCCCCGTCCTGAGCAGGGTCCCTCCCAGCCTCCGTGAGCGGTTGCCGGCTGACTTCAGAAACCAGAGAGCGTCTGCAGTGAAACCAACTGCAAAACAAAGAGAGTCCATTCCTGGTGTGGAAAAGCTAAAATAGTACTGTGAATTGTTTTGTGCAGTTTTATCAGAGCTTTTTCTTTTTTTTTTTTCTTTTCTTCCTTTTTTTGCCAACCATTGCCAACGTCAATCACAGTATTAGCCTCTGTTTAATTTACTTACCATTGCTTCCATCTACACTCTTCAATGCATAAGTTGCTCTGAGGTGGCAAGTTGTCCTGGGTTCTGAGAGTCCTCTGACGGATTTAATTCGCAACGCTGGTGCTAGAAGTAGGTCTTCAATTACGGGATTGTTTTCCCACCCCTGTACTGTATTCCCAGTGGCCAAACTTATTTATGCTGCTAAATGAAAGAAAGAAAAAGCAAATTATTTTTTTTTATTTTTTTTTTCTGCTGTGACGTTTTAGTCCCAGACTGAATTCCAAATTTGCTCTAGTTTGGTTACAGAAAAAGACTTTTTGCCACTGAAACTTGAGCCAACTGTGCCTCTAAGAGGCTGAGAGTGGAAGAGTTTCAGACAATTAAAGAGTGAAGTTTGCCTGCAAATAAAGAATTGAGTGTGTGTGCAAAGCTTATTTTCTTTTTTTCTGGGCAAAAATTAAAACACATTCCTTAGAACAAAGCTATTGCAGCCTGTTCTGTGGGGAAATTTTTTCTTTGTGAGGGCTGTGGTGAATGGAATGAACATTAAAAAAATTTTAAAAAACTGACAAAATTTTTAAAAAAGATTATAAAATACAAAAATGAAAATAAAGTTGCTGGTCAGTCTTAGTGTTTTACAGTATTTGAGAAAAAAAAAAACAACTGTTACAGTTATTGCTGGGAGGAACTGACAGAGCAAAAACTTAGGTTTTTGTAAAGATGTCACATGCAAACGAAATGAGAAATGAAAGAGTCAAACAGTTTGCCTCATTCTCCAAGAGCCACAACTCAAGCTGAACTGTGAAAGTGGTTTAACACTGTATCCTAGGCGATCTTTTCTCCTCCTTTTGTTTTGTTTTGTTTTATTTATAGTCTGATTTAAAACAATCAGATTCCAGTTGGTTAATTTTAGTTATGTAACAACCTGACAAGATGGAGGAAAACAACGTTTAAAGGGACTGTGTCTATGGTTTGATTCACTTAGAAATTTTATTTTCTTATAACTTAAGTGCAATAAAATGTGTTTTTTCATGTTAGTCTGTCTTGCTTTTTCTGTTTCTCGCACTTACTTTAATGCCACATCGCCTGTCACCCCTAAAGCTTACCCAAGCACCACAGCAGGCAGTGGTGCAGCACTGCCATGGACAGCTGTGTGAGCATCCCTGCTGCTGGTGCAGTGTGGGATTGGCCTCCAAGAAGCTGGTGGTAAAGCCAGGGCCTTCCCATTGCCAGGGGCTGGCCAGGATTGGATTCTGGGGGGGAGTGAGCTATAAAAAGCTTTTCACGTACATAGAATTTATCCCAATAGCATCCTGTTACTGCATCTTAAATTGAAACTTGGTTATTATTTATGGATTTCAATCAATTGATTGCAGTCTTAACAGTGGAAAATACATCCACAAATGCAACTAAAGTCAAAGTGAGGATTGCAGGAGTGCTTGAAACAAGGACAGTGACACAAACCCCACAACATTCAAGATCAGCCCGGTAGCAGTTCTTTCAGAACCTGTGCTAAGTCATCAGCTCTCAGAAACCTCCCAGCTGAGCGTCCCTTTCTCTTTTAAATCTCCTGGACCAAAATCTTTCCTGTCTGGGACATACAATTTACTTTCCCCACAGAAAACTGCCATTTAAAAAAAAAAAAAAAAAAAGGCAGTATATGCATGGAAGAGAAAAATATACATCAAATGTCTATCTGCTTACTCAAATGTAGTTGCAATTCCCACATTATGCAAAACAAATAATGATGAAGGAGCGCACTTCCATCTGGCCTCTAGAGATTAAAAAGCCATACAGCATCACTGAGCAGCCACAGATTGTAAATATCTGTTCAGTGAGTTTGGTGTTTAAGAAAAAAAAAATTGCAGCAAGCCCTGACACGCAAAACTATGATCATCCAAGTTTTTATGTAAAAACAACAAAAGAGCTCATCGTCTCAGCTAGAAGGGCAGTGTACGGACAGCCAGAACTTCAGGGAGCAGCTCAGGCGTCCCCATTTTGGGCTGAGAGAAGTGCTCGGCCCTGTGCAGGTCCTGAGCTGGGCACTTTGCTCTGCTGAGCAAGGATGCAGGGCTCCCCACCTGGGAATGGGGCATCAGCCTGGGTTGAATTACTCGTGGTAGTAAGCAGGGGGAAATAGGAAACGTTACTGCAGGGAACTGAGCAACAGCTTTTAAGATTGTGTAATTTTCTTCTACAATTTGTAAAAAATTGCAACAACATGTTTTCAAAGAGCAAAGGCAGTTGCTTACCTGCACAGGAGAATGAGAGGTTTCTGAATAACGTTACGCTGGAGGGCAGGAATACCAATCAGGGCAGAAGAGAGAAATGACTGAAGAGAAAGAACAGCATCCAGACAGGCTCAATCTGTGTTTAAGTACACTTTAAGCAGCCAATATGACCAGGATCAACATGTACTTAACCAGAATTCAGAGTTCTTCCAGGTAATAGAGCAGTTCCAACACTACCTTATGTTCAAATCAATGCAGACCAGCTTGAACCTGTTGAGCAAACCACATTTAGAGCTTCTGTCATCCCAGATGTAGATTAAAAACCCCTGTATTGCCTTCAAAGTCAATATGTCACATATTAAATACAAAAATCAGCACAGTGCAGTTAAAAAGGCTTTTCCCCTGTGATAAAAAAAACTGTGAAGCAAATTGTGATAGCACTGTAAAGTCTTCTGTTTTGCCACACAGTTGGCTGAGGTTCATAGGCATTCATGTTGCTTACGAGGCACATGAACAACGTCACTCAATAAGCAGCAATTTGTTAAATTATTCAAGTGACAGCATTTCCAAAATGGGCCTGTAGCAAATATGTCATTTGTAAGGAAGCATTTGAGCAGTTTTTCCTTACGGTTTCCTTATTTCTGGTTTCCTTATTTGTTTCCTCTTTATGTTGACATACTGATGATAACATTGAGTTCATTTCATAAGGAGGCTTTAGCTCAGCAGGAAATGCTCCAGTTCAGACTGCTGAGGAACCATACTGTCTTCATTCGGCGCGATTTGATTTTTTGGGTGGCTAATTTGTTTCCAATAAAAGTATTTGTGAGTACTGGTCTAAGACTGGAGCTGCTTCAGGCTCTCAGTATGCATGCACTTCTTGAATCTATTCATTGTGGATTATAGCATCATGATATCTGCAGCTATCCTAAAGAGAGAATTGCATGAGCTTCTGGAGCCTTAGCCTCTCTTGTTTTAATACTGATTCCTTTATTTATTTCTGCTTTAGCTCCAGAAAGAGCTTCCTCATTTTCTACTGTGTCTGAAGCCAAGACAACAACATTAAAAGATGGGGTTTTTTTTAATAGCTATTATTCTTTTTTGCGTCTTGATTTTAGCTAGCAGTGATTAAGTCAGAACTAGCGCTGCCACCTTCTCTAAGATGCTGTTCCCATGGTCTCACATATGCGTTTACTTGGTCAGGAGCTAAAACCTGACGTTTCACACCTGCATCTACACCAGCCTATAGCAGAGCTCTGTGAGCCTCCCTGCAGAGCACGGTGCAGGATTCCTTTGGGGTATGAGCAGCAGCTCCTGATTAAACACCTCTAAAATATACCCCTGTGGACATTTGGTCTTCGGGACCAACAGAGTGGTGCTACAGCTGGGCTTCTGCTCACACCTCTAATGGCTGGCAAGGGCATAACCCAGATCTCAACCAAGCAGGCCTCCAACAACCCTCTCCTGCAGCACTCGTGGCTCCAGATAAGCAGCCAGATCTCATCCAAACATCAGAAACAGAAAAACAGAATCCACCAGCCAGCACTATGGAAGTTTTGCCAAAGATAAAAGGGCAAATGCCTTCATCTGTCTTTCAGCATGCTTTCTGGGGACTTTGTTCTGATCTGCTGATGGAATCCAGTTTAAAATATCATCTCTCACTGTCTGGCCAAAATGTTCTACCGGGAAGTCAGCACCTGAATCACTCAGAAAAGGAAATCATTACATTCTGCAAAGAGAGAGGCTAAAGATCCAGACTGTTAAAAGTCATGAGAAAAATGACTTGAGTCAGTCTCACCAAACAACTGGGAATTACTTGAAGGGCAATATCCAACTATGCTGAACGCTGAATCCTCAATGCGAGCGGGAATATTATCTTTACATCTCCTGGTATTTTACCTAAAGCCTTTCTCCTTCATCTTGATACTGTGCAAAGGCATACACGTTGTGTGACTATGTTAAGTATTTGATGAAGCTTGACTATACACCATAAATATATGATATATATTAGGTTGTTCAACTTTTCTTCTGAAATGTGCATATATTCAAACATTTTCCAGTGATATGTTTCTTTAATCATCACTGCAGATTTGTGAATAACTGTTCTAACAGAAAAGCTGTTTCAGGTCCCTTCTGCAACAGTCTGACCAAACTAGCTGTCCCCAAAAATCCAGCAGCCATTTCAGGCTCCCTGATCAGCTTGCCAAATGGCCCACTAGCTCCAGAAGTACTTCAGAGAAAAGAAATGGTGCACTGTGCTACCACCAGTGCACATTGCTGAGTGAAACACTGCAGCACTCTGTGACTGCAGCTGCCTACAATCCAATGGCTTTCTGCCCACATACACACTGCACTGCTCTAGCCCAGGCAGGGCAGGAGAGTCCTCCAAAATCATGACTAAGCATCATCTGGCTAGGACACAATCTCCCACCAACCAGAGGTGGCAGAACTCATTAATCACAGAGCTTTTCACACAAGATCCTGGCAGCACAGAGGAATTCAGTGGTGTTTTTAAATGACACACTGTACAGGACAACAGAGGATAAGCAGACTTGGCCTTGGCCAAAGGCATCCTCCAGCTCTCCTCCTTTGTCCTCACCTCTGCCTCGCTCAGATACACCTTCATCCACCTGATCCCTGTTCACAAGCTGGTTTGTTGCAACCCTACACAGCAGCAGTGATTTTGGTAACAGAAAATGAGTAATTTGTCCTCTGCATCTCTCTGTGCTGCAGAAGTCAGCTCTGAACTTTCTGCAACGCTTTGTGCAGGGACGGCATGATCTCAGTCTAACACTAAATGCTTCCAGGGAGTCCATGAAGATGAGAATGCATCGTTAGCCCAGAGAGAGACATTTATCATCAGCACTGCTGAAAAGATTTCCACCTTGAGACTAGACTGAAAGTAATCTTCTAGGCCTGGTGCAATCAGACAAGCTTCAAGTTGATTTCGATTCCTTAATTTTTCAAACACAAAGCTTTCAATGCCACAAACCTCATCTGGCTGGGTGCCTCTACGACTGCAAAACAGGTACATTCTGTAAGCAGGATCGTGAGTCTTGCTGCCTTGAACCTGAGAGAGCTCGTGGTCTGTAGACAGGGAACAAACATGGAAGGTCTGTGTAAGCTGCATCAGAAATGACCTATGAAAAACAGAGAAAGACAGGTGCAATGAATTAGGGGCTTCTTCTGTCAAAAAAAAAAAGTCATCAATGCAAGTTCTACAACAACTGGCTATTTCAACATCCTCATCAGCAAAGCACAGGCATGAGCATTCTTTGTGAAGCACTCATTCTGGCTGGCCTGTAGTCGAGAACACAACCAACCAAGTTAGCCCTGACTTGCACGAACTTCTCATGCCTGGGGCAGGTTGTTTGATGGGCAGGGGAACGCCTGGCTCACCGCGCCAGCCAGCTGGGATGCAGGTTTCACACGGTGCTTGCGGTGTGTTATCCGAGAACGCTTTGTTCTTTTAATTTAAAACAGGAAACAAGGAATGTAGAAGATCCAAAAACTTCAAAGGCAGTTTCCATTGCCAAAGGAGCTGCGTTTTGACTCAGTTCAGCCTCTAGATTAAATATTCAAATCTGACAGTGTGGGAAGATGCTTACACCTTCAAGAGGCTCAAAGATTTCTAAGGAATTGAGGCTTTCAGATTAGTTGGCTGTAAATTTCAGTGTGGTAAGCTGAGCAGTAGCAGTGTTCCTAAACGGTAGTTTTATTTTGAGCTTGTTGGTTTGAAATGAATTTCTAATAATACCACAGCTTTGCAGACACATACGCAACGTAAAGTATGTTCCCTTTACCATGATATACAGAAGATCCGAGTAGAACGTTTCCCTGTTTTCAAACCCCCATTTGCTTTTAGGTTTCCTGTTACATTTAATTGCTGATTTTGAATGTTCATGTTATAGTTCTGAAAAATGAAGAACTCAAAAGCTGCACACTAGAAGGACTCCAAAGTTTTTCCCTCAGACTGTTTAATGCTACCTGTCTGCTTTGGCATCACCTCCTGTCAATTCTCAGCTTACAGGAGTCAGTGTTTCCATTATACACTGTACACGTTTTCCCAAACAATCAAGATTTGTAGAAACGTTATACACAGCAATGTGCCCAGTGGAAAAGTTTCTTGATGTTTATCTGCTGGTGTTACCAATGCACACTTAGCACATGCTTTGGGCATGACGTGGATACCCTCTGCACTATCCTGCTGACTACTGCCACACTTGTGATATCCCGTTTCATCCAGACCAACACAGCAGCACAATGTTCCTGGTGCCCGTTCTTCCATCCCACACAATTTGCTATTACATTTCAAGAGCACATAACTGATCTGCCTGGGTTCACCTGTTACCAGCAGCTAGCAGACCTCCCTGCACTTCACATTTGACCAAAAGGCAGAACAGGAAGAACCTGGGGCAGAGGAGCGGTAAGATGGAGGAATGCCCCCAGGTGTGAGACAACCACTAATGCAGCCATCTGTTTGTGTGTCTAAATGAGATTCAGCCCCACTAAGCCCACAGGTCTCCAACTGTAGTTCAAAAAGTCAGCGTTACAACTTATTTTTAAAAGGTATTTTATAAAAGTTTCAAGTATGCATTCGTTTCTAAACAAACATGTTCACATCTTTAAGCACCTCTTGCTTTACATACTTAAAACAAACCAACAAAATCTTGCAACAAACTGTTTTCCTCTGCTTTGTTCCCTCATTTTCTCTTTTCTTTGGCACTTGCACTTCAGTTTCCCTGTGTTTTGCTTCGTCCTTTGTCCTGTCTCTGTGCTTTTCTTTTCATGCTTTACCATTCGTGTCCCATTTTTCAAATTTTTATCCCTTGCTCATCTTTCCCCACTCCCAGCCCTTCTCCTTCATTAAAGCTGTCACAGCCAGCTTCTCCCTCCTGCTTTCACCCAACATCTGAGCTGGCACACTGGAGTCTTTTTCACACCACTCTACAGATCTAATGTGCACAGGAGATAGATAAGACTGATGGGAAGCAAATGCAGAGCTCTCCGGAAAAAAAAATTCATTTATCTGCTTCAGCTTAAAGAGCTAATGTTCCTCTCTCCACAGCCCACAGACAATCCACGTGGTCCAGCAGCAGTGGGATCAGGCCCTCTGAGCATGGCCCGGTTTACCACTAATTTCACAAACAACTGAGCAACAAAGATTGCCCAATTCAATCCTCGTTAAGCAAAATGTATTAGCTCTCATTAAAACAAAAACATGTATTATCTTGCTCCTTCAGAAATCTAATGTGTAAAGGTATTTTTGAAAGCATTCCTCACTAGGAAACATGTGATTTTCTGTGTATCTGCAGAATTTGGAAGATTGTTTGGTAAAAAGTCTCCAAGGTAAATACAGAAGCTATCATCCCAACAAGTGCCTCTTTGTCTCATAAAGCCATGTAGAAATAAGGATTGGAGGCTGCAGACGAAGCCATGTTCCAAACTCGACAGCAGTGCCGGATTTTCCTTCCGGTGGTACCACGGCAGCACAGCTGGGGCAGCGCAGTCTGTCAGGGCACGTTAGCAATCGTACACAAAGCACGTCTAAAGCAATCGAGCACACGTTCCTCACTAATTCTTAATACACAATGACAGCGTAGGCAATAAAAGCTCCAGAGCCACGTAGGATGTGGCCACACACTGGGTACCCTACTGGTGAAATTTAGCTGTGACACGCTGTATATCCTGCTGAAAAAAGCCAGGGATGTGCAGCACCTCTCTGCAGTTTGGCTTCTGCATACTGTCACGCCAGCATAACTTAATCCAAAGAGATCAACAATTGGTAAGAGGGACACAAACTGTCCAAAGCAACAAAGGCTCATATAGGACATGCTGGTCTTTGCAGGATGGAAGGCAGTGAAACCAACCAAACACTCACACCACAACAGCAACAAACCAAAAAAGCTCAAACCCAAATCCACACTGCTTTCATCTCCCTGTTTCATTTCAGCCTAATAACAGCATTACCAATTGCAGGTGACCTCCTCTCCTTGCAAATGCATGCCCATCCCTATCCAGCGTGAGCTCAATGCATACTGTACTCACACACTGTATGAAGAAAGGTAAGAAGGACTTACCATACATTTTGTTTTTATTTTTGCTCATCTATTCATTTTATTCAAGCATTTTGCTTTTGTTTCCACTGTTTTACAAACAGGTAGAACAGCCACTGCCATGTTTCTCCATGGCTAGAACAAAGCCAGCAATACATTGCTGTTGCTGCTTATCCTTTCAGCACTGACGAATCACTGGATCAGGGAAAATAAGTCAGAATTAGGCAGAGGTTCAAAGCCCAAAAAGCACAGCATGTGAGCAACACTGTGTCCTGAACTCCTGAGGGAAGGAGCTGCCCCCACTGACAGCTTCACCCTGCACAGCCTGGGCAGCCACCACGTTGCACACAGCAGCAGCTAAAGCAGCAGTGAAGGCAACAGGAGCATTCCCACAGACAGAAGGAGTGCATCAGACAAGAAAAACCCATGGGTCTATTACCAGCACATCATGATCTTAGAGACCTCACACATTCCTTCCCTTGTGATATCCAACTTAGATATCTGACAGCACACGACAAATAAAACTGCTCTGAAAGAAAACAAGAGTTCCCCTCACCTTTGACCCTCCAAACAATTTCTGCTCTCTTAATTAACACCTGAACCAGCCCTTTATGCTCGCAGCTGGAGCTCCATCTTTTGGCAGGAGGGAAGGGCCCTCCTCCCATACCAGCGGGCACACAGACTGGCTGCAGCCATCTCCTGCCACCCCCCACGGCCGTACTGAAGATAAAAGGACCTCTTTCTCCATAACTCTTCTCTAAAAATTCAGAATATTGTCCCTAAAAATTGTTCTTTCTGTTCAATCTGTGATTTAGGTAAAAGCAATTTAGGTGAGACAAAAGAGACTGCTTCATAAGACATACCATTCTTTTAGCTCTGTGATAAAAAGGAAGGAATCACATCTCAGTCATAAAAGCAACAAAATGACAGTGTCAATACTTCGCATCGAGCCCAAATGCACGTTGCTTACATTTTAAGATTCTTCTCCTGCAGCCAGATAAGAGGCACAGAGACAACAGACCGTGAAACTCACATGGTATTTTTCCCTTTCAGGAGAAATAGCTATTTCTACCTGTCCTTCCCACAAAATGCAAAGGGCCTACTCGGTGCAACCCTTGTCTCTCTTTCCGCCAGATGAGGGTTACATTTTTGCAGTGCCCTCAGAGAGCCGTGGATGTCTTTGAGAGCCACTCCAGTTTGGAGGCCCGCTGTGGGAAGCAGCGTCTTTCAAGATCAGTGTTTGGTAACGAGTGTCTTCCTGCCTACACTTCCATCTCACATGTTCTCAGACATTTTCCGGCATCCACCCAATGTGCACTGAGCAGTGAGCAATTGAGAGTTCAAGCAAATGATAGGGAGGAATGGATAATTAGCCCCTAGGAATGCATCCAGCTACAGTTAGACTCCACGAAGGTTAGAGACCCAATTCCTCCTCAATTAAATCTGATACTAAAGAAATTTATAAGGCTTTATTCAAGCTACTAATTTCTCAGTTTTACTGCAAACAATTTACAATCAAATGAAGTGAAAGCTAGAAGCAAAGCGTACATTAATGACTTCATTTTCCTTTCACATTTCTCTTCATTTTATCTTTCTGTGAAGATTAATCTTAAAATTAGGATAATATGCCAGTAAATATTACATATATTTTTTCTTTTAGTTATTACTGCATAAAAGCTGAATTGCTTCTATGAATGTCAGCGTTGCCTTCTGTTGAGGAGAGTGCTGTATCACCAATCTGCAGCCCCAGCAAGTGGGAGAATTTCACCATTTCCCGGGCTGAAAACGCATATGATAACAAAGCAGTCCAAAAGATACCACAATATCTGAAGAGAAGATCTAGTGTGCTGGGCTAGCAACGTGCAATCTGTGAATGACACAGCCACGTGTGTGCACTCTAAGATGCGACTTGGGAACACAGTAACAACTCTGTCAAAAAGGAAGCATGAATGGCAAAGCAGCTTTCGCAACACTCCACTGGAGCTTTGGCAACACTGTGAGAGATGTAGGTGAGGCTAAATAAGTGAATCTGCGGGTCATTCACCCTCGTACAGAAAGAGCAAAGGGACGGTGAACCGC